AATAATTGGAAATACAGTAACAATTTTTTTAAAGTAATTTATATTTTGTGAGCTGGTTTGTGGCTCCAGATTTCTCTTGCACACCTCCAGCCATCACATAGATGTACTAAATTCCATCTCCAGCATGCTTGTTTTTACAAACATTTTAATTAGACAAACCAGGTATTGGATGATAATGGCAAATAATACTGGGCTTCCATGAGGAGAGCTTTGGAAATAGTTTGAACACATTGAGTTGTAAAGTCAGTGCTTATTATAATAATATTAATTGTATTTATTTTAGCTTTAGTGTTTTTCTGAACAAATAAATGCTTACTGCCCAGATAAATAGCTTTTTAAATCAAGTGTCTAAAATCTGTGCACAGTATGCAGAAAAATATATACATACATAGATGTATATATATTTAGGCAAAGGTTTGGGTGCCCCTGGTGGTCTAATAATGTATTTTTTGATTTTCTAGTTAACACATTCTCTACAGAGAACACACTTGTGCACAATTACTGTTTATTTTCTGACAATATTTAGGAAAAAAATATAAAATGTGACCTGTGAAAAAGTTATGGCACAGTTAATATTTTGTGTTTTTATGTATAATTTTTTTCCCTTAAATTCTGCAAATAAATAGAAATTGTCCACTAAAATTTGCAGAACCTATTTAAGTTTGTTCCCTGTAGAGGATGTGATCATTTGACCGGTGTTGAAACTTTTGCTTACAATGGTATCTGAAATATACACACTCTACTTTCAGACACATGAATGGACAGAATTCTGGATAGAATTATGTGTCTACCATGTGTCCATGCACATCTAGTTTGTTTCATATTTGGTCTGTGTCAATCAATCAATCAATAAATCAATCAATCAATCAGAATGCAAAGCAATAGTATTTCTTCTTTATTTTCAAAGCACTTCAAAGCAAATTAAGTAATGTCATCAATTGTTTTCACACTAGAAAATAATTGGAAGAAAATGGAAGACATTGCAAAAAAGTGTTACATAAAAGGGCCTCATTAATCATAAAATTACTTAAATCAGTATAGTGACCTAGAAATAGTGCAAAATCTTAAATATTTCTTCCTCATTTTAGTTCAGAATTAGTGTTTATGTCATAATTCGTGTTTGTTTTATTTTTTTTTTAGAATTCTTGAACTTTCTGTTGTTGATTTCCAAGTTAAAGAAAAGAAAAAATAATAATAATAAAATAAAAAAATAAAATCCCTTAATTTCAATGTGCTCTCAGACTTTGGGCCCCACTGTAGGTATATATGTTTGTTCATATGTAGGTAGACATATTTAAATATATTGGAAAAATGATTATAAACTGTGCCATATCTTTTGTACAGACTTCATTTATATTTATTTTTTTCCCCCAATATGCAAATAAACAGTAAGTGTGCACTAAAATGAGAAGAAGTGTGTTCCCTGTAGAGGATACGTTAACTTACTTATACTCAGAAAATCACCTAAAACATCAACAAAACAAGTATATGGGGCTGTGGCACCCACAATTTTGCATACAACCATAGACAGACAGACAGACAGACAGACAGAAGTAACACTGAATTTCATCAACAATAACAAATGCTGCCCTCCTCATCCTGCTTGTTGTCATGCATTACTTAATTACAGCCCCTCAGTAATGATGTTCTGCTTTTGGACCGCATTCCCACACAGCAAGAACAGCAACCCAGAACAAACCAGGCGTGTAGTGTCACAATATGATGTGGACAGTAAGTCTGACGGTCCTGAAAGAGTAAAGAAATTTGTTTTTCTGGGTAATTACAATGTCTGCACAGTCTTGCAGACGCAAAATATTATTAAGTGGAATCTATACTCATCACACACACACACACACACACACACACACACACACACACACACACACACACATAGACATTTACACACCCACCCACCCACGCAGCAACTGATGATTATCATGTTGAAACATGTCTATTGTGCAAATGAGAGGAAACAGAAGAGGACAGACACAAACGCTGAGTTTAAAGGTATTTAATGCAGAAAAGTTCATGCTTTAAAAACCAACACCTTACAGCACAAGTTCCTTCTGAGGGTCGATAGATTAAGAAATAACAACATTATTTCTGTGAACCCTTTTTAAGGGTTGCTCTTAAAAATCCCTTTCAATCAGTTCATTAAGATGCCGGTTTTTTAAAGGCATCTTGGCAACACAGTACCTGAGAAAGCCCAAAAGTTTCAACACACAGGAAAAAAAAACAAAAAAGATAAACCCAGTTCAACATCTGTACCAAAATATACTGTATTTCATTCATACATAGAGTCACTATATATATAAAAATACACTGCAAATCCTCGTTTTGCTGTTTGTAAGGCCCACAGTAAATAAGCATGTTTAAAAAAAACACTTTCCTTTCACAAAAAATATATAGATAAAGATATATATTTACAAATATAGCAACCCCATACACATGAACGCAAATAACAATCTAGACTTTGAGTGCCATTGATTTAACTTCAAGTACGCTCCCAAAGTGTGGACTCACTGAACGAACACTTTCGTTTTTTTTACGGTGTGCTCTTGCAGCTGTAAACATAGTCTTTGCGTCAATGATTCTTTTACGTCCTTCTTTTTGTCCTTTTTATCCTTTTTTTTTTTTATTCATTAATTTTGTAATCTTTTGGGAAAAAAGCCAGCATGTACAATACGTAACGAGCGAGGAAACCAGGATGACGGGCATCTCTGAGTTTTCTCCAAACTCATTTTATATGTATCTACAACAAGAACAGCTACAGTGGATGAAAGAACATCAAAACCTAATTACACATAAAACACATACAGTTACTTTCAAATGCTCTGGATGCTTTTGTTTGTTCGTTACTGACTTTGAATACTTTGCGTTTGTTCATAAAAAAAGGCACACAAAACTTCTGAAACTGGACATTAGGCTTCGTACATATAAGGAATGTATCTTCAATCAGTGCTAGGACTTGGCTTTTAAGACCTTTTCCTCGTAACCTTTAAAGGAGAAATTCACAGTTTTCACCCATAATCCACAAAGCAAAGGGGGTAAAAGGCCAAACAGCGGCAAGATCAACACTGAGCACCATACATGCTTGTAAAAGTGGAAAAAAAAAAAACAAAAAAAAAGCAAAAGTGCAAAGCTTTTTCAGCACTGAAGAACAGGCAACGGTTAGGCTCCACAGTGACGTTGCCCTCAAGTGTAAGTCAAACCAAGATGAAAATGAAACCTTAGTGAAGCTTTTGTAAGCAGATTGTGCCTAAAATCTCCATTTAAGCTCGATTAAGGCAAAATCTAGACCTCAACACTGTAGAATTCTGTATATTTCTCAACTAACCTTTTAATATTCAATATATTAGTACAGTTGCATGCAAAAGTTTGAATACCCTCTGTCAAATTACGTTTTGTTGATTTTCAAACACATCCTCAAACCTGAACGTGCCATTTTCTGCTCATTTTTGGGCACAGGTTGTGTTCATTTGCTGAGTTTAACATATTGGAAAAAAAAATAAATCATAAAATATAAAATGTGCCATTTTGCTATTATTCATTTCTTATATTTGTGCATTAAATTCAGCAATAAACGGTAACTGTGCATTAAAATGTGCAGAAGTGTGTTCTTTGTAGATGATGTGTTAACCTATTTTCACTTTAAACTGTCATTTGACCAGAGGTGCCCAAATTTTTGCCTGCAACAGCATATAAGCACATATCCTGGCATTGTAAGCACTAAAATTATGGTATAATTCAATCTATAATATGTATTATTACTAAACTATTACAGAGAGGTTAATTTTGCATAAAGATGAATAAATGTTGTTGAATATTTTCTAACATTGTGCACATAGATGTGCATGGCAAGCTTTTGTGACACTAAATTGAAAACAATGAAAAGTAGATGAATGCTGAGATAGCATTAATTTATTAATAGTAGAAACAGTTAATACAGTATACGAAGGCATTATAATGCCAGTGTATTGCTCTTATTAAGCCTTATCAAGCTGGTTTCTAATTAACTGTCTGCTTATTACTACTTTATTAATCAGTAACTAACTATCTTACCTAAGCAATGAGCCCATGGTGTGCTTACTTTCTTTTCATTCATAATTCATTCATATCTCAATGATAGTACCTTTATAGGAGAAAGCAAAAATGTAAAGTTAATGTAAAGAGCTTCTGCTGGTCCATTCATTACGAAATTATGTAATGGAGAAAAATAAAAATCTGAAAACATAGAGATGCATTTATTTTTATTTTTAAGGTTTGATAAACTGTAAAATTACTTCTAGTCAACACCTAAGTTTGTTAGATTTCAATTCATCAGATGAGCAAAACATGCTTAATTCAGTGTAATTACTGCTTAATGAAGTAGTAATACACAGCTAATAAGCAGCTACTGGCTTGATAAGGCTTAAAAGAGCATTATAAGGGAATCATAATGTCTCCTATACTGAAGTATAAGATAACAGTTTAATCTGACCTTTTGCACCGTCCAATTGCATCATTGTATCTGTTCACTACAAGAGCATACTGTACAGTACTGTCAGTTTAGGGAAACTTTGTTTATTTGAGAACAAGACTGAGAAACTGATTATTTGAGAAAATACAGTCAATTCAAACCTGAGGCCAAGAGGAAATAAAAGGTAAACCACAAGGCATTAGATTAGGAGACTGTGAGCAATCAGGCTAAGACAAAAAACCAGAGCAGAGCTTTGTATAACCAGCATAGCCAGTGCTTCAGAATAAAGTGCAAGCTGTAATTTGTTCCCTAAAGACTGTTTACAAGGATGCGCTACACTGCATATGCTATCTACATACATTTGATGGATCATTAACAAAGGACCAGCCGAGGCATCGTGCTACCAATGCAAAAACTAAAAGAAAAGAAAAGAAAAAAAAAGCCTCGTAAAGGCATGCTGCAGACTGCTGCTTTCTTGAGGTGCTTTAGGAGGACATACGATGAGCAATCAGACTTACTGTGCACAACCATTTGCAAAACTGCCCTACATCAAACCGTAGGAGTGTTTTGATCCAGATTGTCATCAGCTCCTCGTGCACGATCGCTGCCTAACTGCTTTTTAATGTGGTTACAAGGCTACAAGACAGTGCCATCACATGGAGTCCTGGTAGTACAAGCACCACAAGCACGAGGATGAGTGTGAACCTGCACATACTCACAGTTAAAAACATAGTAATAATAATTAAACAAACAAACAAAAAAAACTATAATGCTAAGCTTTAATTCAACTGCATTTCCTGGTCACTATGTCTGATGGGCGAATGGTACAAAGCGGACATGTCCAAACACACTTACGAGAAGCTAGATCATATCATTCGAAACATCGGCAAGGCACTGAGAAACCACAGCAGCAAAAAAAAAGAAAAATAAATGGAAAAAAAGCTGTAAAATGATGAGCTTTTCTTGTCCCATATTCCCCTGATAGTCCCCTGTGTGCAAGTGCACATTGTTCAGGATACCCTTGTATGGCGACATCTCTAAAATCTGCAGTCATCCTATAATAGTCCGTAAAACGGGAACGACAGCATGCAAAGACGACTCACTTAAGATGAAAAAAAAAGAAAACCTTCATAACTTTCCAGGAAATATAGCTGCTCTGTTTTCAATGGTGCACTAGATAAAAAAAATGTCAAAGAGTGAGTGTGCCTATGCAAAGAAAAAAAATTCACCTTATCATTCACATCATGCGCAAACTCTTACATGCCCTCACCCAAATATATAACCTTCAGAAAATTCAAAAAAATTACAATTTTACCCCCTTAAACTCCAGACTCGCATTCCTCACTCGTAACTACATCCCTTATATATTAATTACATAGTAGTTATTGAGTAATTCATAGTAGTTACTGGATAATAAACCTCAAGATCAAGAACTGAGTACTAAGCCTAAAGTTTAAGGGGTTAACTGCAGGACCTAAACCTTCATATATTTGTTAAATGCTGCTTACAGCTGCCTTCCCTCTGGCCCATCTTCGGAGATGTTTCCACACCGTTCACCGATGTCCAGGTCACAATCCTTGACTACAACTGGCCACATGTGTGCGTGGTGTGTATCCTGGCCTTCTCCTAACGAAAGGTATGCACTCCACGGACGATGTGCGAGGAGAACTCGTAGCGATCTTTGCTGCAGTGGCCGCAGATGTTGCACTCCAGTGGGTCCCTGTAGCCGTGGCAACCCATGTGGATGGTGTACATGACGTGGTCGAGGAAAAGCACTCTGCAGTGCTCGCACTGGAAAGCCCTCAGCTCCTGGCCCTCACGGCCAAAAACGCGCACCCCCGTGTCCCGAACCACTGGGCGCCCGGCTTCAGCCGCCCGCGGCTCCTCTCGGGGCACAAAGTGACCCGGACTGACCCGAATCGACCTGCTGTGGTTGACCAACTTGTCTTGAGGGCTGCTGCGGGCCGAATCTGCCGAATCCTGGCCACTGGTGTTTCCGGGGGAGCCCTCGCGGCCTGGCTGGTTCTTGGGCCTGACCAGAGAGATGGCCCCATTGGTGGGGGCGGGAAATTCCGTTGGTGGGGGCAGTTGGGGCAGGGGGAGCGCCTCGCGGCTGCTGGGCCGGTCCAGCCGAGGGCCAATGGGATAGACGGGGTGAAATAAGGGGTTCACCATGGGAACCACCTCTGCCATGGAGAGTGGAGGGTGAGGGACTACAGGCCGCAGGGTGTCACCCAGATAGGTCATAGCGTTACTGATAGCCTGGTCCATTATATGGGCCTGCATCATCTCAGCCTCCTTTTCATACTTCAGGTCGAAGCTCATGTCAGGGTAGGTGTAGCGCATCATCTTCTCTCCTTCAGAACACAAGGAGAAGCAGAAAATAGTCGTTTTTCTAATTGCAAGTTTCATAAATCCTGCAAAAACTCTTTCTTTAGAGCCACACATCTTTTTGAAGACCGCATGCTACTGTTTAAGCCTACACCGATTTTATGATATCAAGAAAAAAGTTACAGTGCAAAATAATCTTCTCCATTATGTCTGGCCTAATGCATGTTGCTTTGTTTTTAAGCTAATGCTAAAGCTTCGGCTTCAAGGCTCTTTCTACATAAATGCTATCTTATTATGGAAAATTCAATTAGGTTTTGGGTTCCATACTTTTATTTACAACATATGAATATGTGATTTAAATGTCAGTTAAATTTTTTTTTTTCCATTCTGCAGGCAAGGTGAGCATATTGTCGCTGTTGGGACAAAAACCCTGTTACCTTAATTGTTTTGTCCATTTTTTAATGGAGCAACCAAAATGGTCCAACACTTCTTTAAATAAAATTCAGCTATATTAACTTCCATTAAACATTGAGAATGTTTTGCTCCATCTTCTGTGCAGTTACTGTTTTGGAGATGCGACTTTTCCTTCCGACGGTATGTTGCACGCACAAAAACGTCTGTCAGCCAATGCTCAATATTATAACGCATAATAATATTGTGATACTCTGTTGAGTTTCCAATATGCCGAAACTAATTCCTGTATCTGACGCATATTGGCAGATAAAGCGATTCTGATTCTGATGAATCAAACCTCAACTGGGCGTAGTTTCTGGGGAAATTCTCAAATATCAAAATTTCAGGGTTTGGATCGTTTTTCGAATGTTTTCATCTCTGTTATTTTTGTGCACACGTGTTTTTTGGTCTGAATAAATGGTGGAAAGCCCCATGTGGAGAGCAGGGTGAGAGAATTTAACCCCTACATAACGTGGAAGTGGTGAGGTGTTGCGCGTCACTCGATTAAAGCAATGGCAGCGTTACAGGTGTGAAAAAACCACAGGGGGGAAAAAACATCTCCAGCCTGTAGCGAATTTGGCGCACTCGCTTTCACTTTACTGCAGGGTTTGGATTTAGCAACCGCACTGCAAATAACATCACACAAAATTATGTGTCACTTTGTGTACACTGTGTTCCAGTCTTTATTGCGCCAATGGGTTTAACAACACTACAGTAGTGCCGTTTAAAATGGTATAAACAACAGCCTTCGAGGCATCACGCTTACATATTTTCCATTTTAGATGATCAATTTGGAAGTGCAACCTCACACCTGTTGCGGTACCTTGTCTATTTCTTTTTACCATTATGATGGCTGCATGAAGAGGAAACACGGTATTTGTGGTTATATTTAGCAATCAGTTCTCATTTTGAGTAAGGCTACAGTATTTCCATCCGTGGGGTTGTTACTCACAAGCGCTGTCTTTGTCGTAATATGATTGTGTGTTCGTTATTAGCAGAACGCTCCCTGTGTGTCAGGTCAACCACATTTACTGCAGGGGTTAAATTGGGACACAGTGCACCTTGGGTTTATGTCAACAGCAAGCAGAGCTGAGCTTCAATATTACAATGGATATCATTCTGAATACAGTCTTAGTGGAATCTATTAAACTATTCCATGTGATAAATCAAGCTGACAGACAAACTCTATTCAGCTACACTCCGCCATCTCCCCCCTCTGTGCTTCTAATGTTTCATTTGTTTTTTGATGCTGTGTGTTTGTGATCTTCTGAAGTTTCGTTCATTCTGCTGATTTTCACAATCATGCAAGTACATTTTCAATCCTTCCTGTTTCTTGGTTTGTCAACTTCCTATATAAATTACTTCATTATGAAGGCTAAATTACGGCTGTTTGTTGTTTAGTTTTGTCGCTTTTCCCTGCTTTAATGTTCCATGAAAAGTAATTCCAAAGCATTCCACTGTATCATATACAGTGTCCTCCACTAATATCGGGACCTCTGGTAATTATGAGCAAAATGAGCTGCAAAAATATTCTTAATTACTTATTTTTGATCTTTCATTCAAAATATTAGCAAAAATCTAGGAAAAAAATGTTATTTAAGGTATAACGATTGAAATAAAAATCTAAATCTTGTCATGGAAAAAATATTTTTCCTAAATCTATGTGCGCCACAATTATTGGAAATTCTTAAGAGTGAAGTCTACACACTTAAAAAACATAGCATTGTGAAAGGGTTCTTCAGAGCCATTTTCAAAAAGGTTTCTATATAGAACCATATACAGCACATTCTTCATCAACCTGAAGAACTCTTTCATGATGCAAAGAACCCTTTAATCATGCAAAGGGTTATTTGAGTGTTCATGGTTCTGCATAGAACCATTTTCTTTACTAAAGAACCCTCAAATAACCATCTTTTTTAAGAGTGTAACTGAAGTATATTCTCATTCATATTTTTAAAATGGTCAGATGATATATATATATATATATGAGATGAAACACAGGCCAAATGCCCTCAATCATTCATCACTTTGAGAAAGATGAGAGACAATGATGTGCAACAAAATGTTACTGAGCCGCACGAATCAGAAATGGCTACAAGAAAAAAGCTAAACAGTTGAAAAGCCCATTTGCACTATCAGGGCAATAATTAAGAAGCTTAAAAAACAACTGGAAATGTTAAGAATCTGCCAACAAGAGGTGGAATGTCTATACTGATGCCACACACAGTGAGGAGGCTGGTTTGGGTGGACAAAGAATCTCCAAGGTTCCCAGATGGGGAATTGCAGACATTAGTCAGACATTAGTTAGGTCTTGGGGTCACAACATCTGCCAAACAACAATCAAACACCACCTATATAACCTCAAGTTGTTTGGAGGGTTGCCAGAAGAAGGCCTCTGCTATAAAGGACCAACAAACTCAAGCTCCTACTGTTTGCCAGATGTTACTGGAACTTTCAGTGGGACTGTGTTTCATGATCAGATGAGACCAAACTAGAAGTTTTTGGCAACAAACACCAGAGGTGTATTTGGTGTGGACACAAAGATGCCATGTAGAAAAGTACCTCATCCCCACTGTGAAGTATGGTGGTGGATCTGTGATCTGTGGATCTGTTGTGGGGCTGTTTTGTTTTTAAAGGCCCTGGACAACTTATTCAGATACATGGTATCACAGATTCCACCAAGTACCAGCAGAAAGAAAATCAAAAGCTGACTCTCTCAGCCAGGAAGCTTAAACTCGACCATAGTTTGAATCTTCCAGCAGGACGATGATCCAAAGTATGCCACAAAATCAACACAAAAATGGTTCACCAACCACAGAATTAAGGTTTTACCATGGCCACCTCAGTCACCTGACCTAAACCCCAAAGAAAACCTGTGGTGATGAGCTTAAGAGGAGGGTCCACACAGTGGACCTTGGAATCTGAAGGACCTGGAGAAATTCTGTAAGGAGAAATGGTCTCAGATCCTTTGCCATGTGTTCTCCAGTCTCATTAAGCATACAGGAGAAGACTCAGAGCAGTTGTCTTTGCAAAGGGAGTCTGCAGAAAGTATTAACAGAAGGGGTGCCAATAATTGTGGCACACACAGATTTAAGAAAAATATTTATTTCCTAAAGAGATTATTTTTTTTTTAATCACTGTATTTCAAGAAAAAGATTAGATTTTTAGTAATATTTTGAATGAAAGATCAAAAGGATCAGCAAAAAAGAATGATTTTTACAGCCTTTTTTGTTTTGCTCATGTTTACTAGGGGTGCCAATATAAGCCTATTTAATAGGCAGAAAAAAACACTGAAGTAGCCAGTTCAGACATGCTTTCATACAATAGACCTATTTTCTGTGAATAATTAAGTTTTTAAAATAAAGTACTTGTTGTAGTTGACGGTCAACAACTGCTGTCAGAACAAAACTTCTTGTCTCCAAAATGATACATTTACAAATTTACAGGAGAAGGAAAAAACCTACATCACCTCAATGGGATCAGACTTTTTTTTCCAAGTAAGTTTAGACATTTTCTTTATATATATATATATATATATATATATATATAAATATATATATATATATATATATATATATATATATATACATACATACATACATACATCATCTAAACCACTTATCCTTCTGGGTCACGGTGGGGTGCTGGAGCCTACCCCAGCTGTCATTGGGCGGAAGGCAGGATACACCCTGGACAGGTCGCCAGTCCATCGCAGTATGTATATATATATATATATATATATATATATATATATATATATATATATATATATATATGTATGTATGTTTTTTTGTTTTTTTTTTTCCCCAGTCACAGGATACCACCAGCGCTAGGGGGGCAAAAGCTAGTACTACAGGCTTCCTCCAAAAGCACCACCGCATCTTTTTAAACTACCACTAACACAACATCATTGGACAGCCGAACGTGCTCGGAGGAAAGAGCCAATCACTCGTTCTGTTATGACAGCATCGCGCTGGGTGAAGAGGGGAGACGGGGGTATCACCTTACCCACCCAGAGAGAGTGAAGCCAATTGTGCCCTCCTGGACCCTCGGCCACAGATGGCTCTAGCATCACCTGGGATCAAACTTGCGATCTCCTGATGATCGAGAACTACATGGGAACTACATATAATAGCATAGGCTATTTAATATTGCTCCTACATTGTTGACACCCAAGAAATTAGGGCTTCCCTACCTTCTACATGTTAATATAACCCCTGTCATACTCACCCACAAACTTCTGAGGCGTGGTGCTCTTCCTCTTGGCCACACTGGCCTGCAGCCTTTCGATGACCGGCGGCCTGTCGAATGGCACAGCTCCAGTCGGCTCTCCCAGAGACCTCTGATCCTTAGGACCCTCTCCTGGGGGTCAAACAGAGTGCTGGGATTAGAAATGCCAAACAGTGAGCCAGTATGCTTTGAACTAACATGTTCTTTCAGTGCTTCTAAGCCCAGAACATTGCTGCTGAATACATAATAGAAACTGAACTGTGGACAGATATCACTGTCAATTTGTAACACTGTTTAAATGTATTTCTATAGTCACATAAACAATCACTTATGTTATTCGATTTACATTCTGTATCAACAAGAACTTCTGACTTCTTTCTGTTTTGATTTTGAGAAGAGGACTGTACACAAAGTTGTTGTTGTTAACTTCTTATTTGAAGCTGCCTGTAAGTGAGTTTCGTTTACTACACATATTGCCTTCATCTTTCATCTGTTCAAGGATGAAAAGAATAAACAAGTAAGGACATGAATGCACCCACATGATGGTATTTACCATTACATCAAATTTATGCTCTGCATCTATCTGATAAACTGTCAAATGTGGTGTGTAGAGCTGTTCACAGTAGCTTAGCATGCTTTAGCTTCACCACAGTACGGCACAGGTGCATTCTGGCTCACTGACACTTTACTGGTGCAAGTTCTGAGAATAAATACTCAAATCTGAGTGGGAACAGTTTTCCGTGTGGAGCTGTTAAACTACTTTTGGTTCAATATCCTTGCTAGCACAAGAAGCTAGTGTTAGCTTGGCAAGGAGGCCTCAACAGCTTTACATGCAACCCATTCCAGCTCACCGAAGCCCCACTGAGGTAGGTTCAGAGAATAAAGACTCAAATCAGAGCAGGTAATCCTGTGTTATTTGTGTTAAGCTGTTAGCCTACGCTACTTATAATTCATATTCCGGATTGCACCAGAGGCTAATGTTAGTTCAGCGAGAGGGCAATTCCAGCTTACTATATGCATTATCCTGCATATTCCTAGATTTTCACACTGTCACACTCTTACAAAGGATGGTTCTTTGAGGGTTCTTTAGTAAAGAAAATACAGAACTCAAATAAACCTTTGCATGATTAAATAGTCCTCTGCATCCTGAAAGCTTTCTTCAGGTTGATGGAGAATGTGCTGTATATGGTTCTATATAGAACCTTTTTGAAAATGATTCTATATAGTACCAAAAAGGGTAGAACTGTAGATGGTTCTACTATAATTAATTTGAGTGTGCTACTTAATGTTATTAATTTTGTTGTGTGAGAATAAATAAGGTGACTTAAAAGGGGATATATTCTTTGATTTTTTTGTCAAAAAAAGACTTACAATGTTTTGTGTACCAAAAACCAGTCATAATTATTAATATATGACCATTTTCAGCCTCTTTTTACATCCTCAGCTTTGAGAAATGTGCAACCTGCCCAACAAAATTAATGTGACACAATCAAGACTGTGTTTCCTGGGGAACTAATGGTAAGTTTAACAATGGTAAACAATGGTATGTTTAAGAATGTCAATGTTAATATAGTAAAATAAACTTTTTTTATTCCAAAAAATAAGGTTTTTAAAACGTGCTCTCCAAAAGCAGACTGGTGACGCACTTGTTAGAAGCAACCTTGAGATTTGGCAGAGATACCACGTCTCACTCAGCTTACGTCAAGAAGTTGTGACCCACTCACCTGCATATGGGCCCGGGTTGGGGGCGGAGTCCATTCCAACACTCTGCAAGTAATTATGGCACCTCTCTTTGTGCTCCTCCAATGACGTACGCTGTTTGTAGCTCCGCCCACAGTAGTTACACTTGTGCGGTTTACCCACTAAAAAAGAGAGGACATCAAAGGAAAGAATTACATCTATTAGTAAGGAGGCGACGCGAGTCATTCAGACTGTATGCACAATTGAAGTTTCGATCTTTGAGTGAGTAACCAAGAGAGTGGGCACTTTCTCACGATGATGCAATCCAGTGTGAGATGGCCTCAGCAGAAAAAAGAATAAGCTTAGGATGGAATAATCCCACACAGAAACAAAACACTACACACTAAACGCAAAAGAGGCTGGCGTCCTCCGCATGGTTGGCGTTAGAGGTGTATGGAGATGTATTCTAGTACTCTGAGCTGTCAAACACCCAGGCATGAAGTAACTGGCAGGAAAATCAGTGCTATGGAAGAAACAAACTCATTTTGTTAAGATATGTTATGTTTGGGTTTGTTTTTATACAATGTGAAGACGTGGAGACATATGCCCCATACGTATTGTATGTAAGTACTAAAATGTAATAATACTATGTCATATTTGAATTACACTGTAAAAGTTTATGCAGCTTTTAAACTTGAAGTAAGTAAGCTGGTTAACCTGAAATTTTGAGTTCACTGTACTTGTAACATTAAGTGAACAGATAAATACTTTTTATACCTTTTACATTTGTTAACTTATTATTTGAAGTGCAATGAACTCAACATTTCAAATTAACATAGTTACTTACTTTTTACATTTAAAAACTGGATCATTTTTTAGTTGGGACAGTATTTGAAATAGGAAAAAAAAAAATGTTTTACCCTATGAACTATGATGGAAATCTATGCTGATTCCAAAAAAAGAGCACAGTTTGGGACAGGAGAATGTTTCATTTGCACATCATCTGAAGACAGAAGGCACCATCTGATCCAGTTTTAAAAGCGGAATGTCTGCCATACAAGTCATAGTAACAGTGCCTTCACAGATATTCAAGTTACTCAAACCATATAGTCCCCGGGTTTTGAACTTTATGCTGGTAACACTCTGGCTAGTTCTTCTTTCAGATTGTTTATTTCCATAAAAAATCTGAAAGGTTGTCTTGTCAGACCTCAACACAAGTTCCCACTGCGCACCAGTCCGTCTCAAATGAGCTCAAGCCCAGAGAAGTTGGTGGTGTTTCTGGACATTGTTGACATGTGCACAGCACAGTATAGTATAGGGCATTTGTGGATGCAGCGACTGATGGTGTCTATTTACAATGGATTGTCAAAGAATTCCCGAACTCATGTGGTGATTTCCATCACAGAAGCATGCTGGTGTGTAATGAAATGCAATCTGAATTATGGAAGGTCACATATTCTTTGACTCATATTGGACATAATACCTAAAAGCCTTGCAATCCCTGGCTGAAGAATGTTATTTTTAAACTGCTGGATTAATCACTGATGCATTTGTGGCAAAGTAGTGAGCTTTAACTATCCTTGCTTATAAAAGACATTTCCTCGAGGCTCCTTTTATATCCATGCATGATTGCATCACATGTTTAAGATTTTATTTATTTATGTTTTTAACATTCAAGAGTGTTAAATTATCCCTGTTCCAGTGTTTTTTGGAATATGTTGCAGGTATCAATTTCAGAATGACTGTATATTTACAAATAACAATGTAGTTGATAAGATAAAGCTTTAAATATTTTGATTTTGGACATTTTTGTTTAAATACAGGTGAAAATGGACTTACAAATCACTGCTTTATGCTTTTATTTGCATTCCAGATACTGTCTCAACTTTTTGGAATTGATGTATTTGCATATAAATATTTACATGTATTAATAACGAGTCCCGTATGAATTAAATACAAAAAATTTAGGCATCAAGGAAAATTAGATTTAAAAAGCTTTTAGCTGATTCTGTTTATTTTTGATTTTCTATTTTCATACACACACTCTCACACACACACACACAAAAGACACACAATATGCAAAAATGCACAAACAAACATACACTCTACACACAAAAACATACACTCTATACACAAACACACCCACGCACACACACAATATACACAAACACACATTCACATGCTTTACAAAAAACACACATAGACAAACACAAACACATATATACACACAATACATATACATACACACACTATATAAACACACATACAAGTACATACATACATACAATATACAAAAACACACATGAACAATACACAAAAATACACACCCACAAAACATGCACACACACACAGACACACATAAACACACATATACACATAGTATACACAAACACACACACAATACATATACAAACATATACTATTTACATCTACATATGCACAATATACAAAACACACACACACATTTCATATACAAGCACACTTATAAATACACATATTCATGCAAGCACACACTATATACACATCTCCCCCACCACACACACATTAAACATAAAACACACCATATACAAAACACCTACACACACACAATACACACCACACACACACTACATACATAAAACACCCACAAAACACACACCTTCTGACCCAGTACACACACACACGCATATATAAACACACTGTACACAAAGACACACAATACATATACAAACACACACTCTATAAACACACATACATACACACACACACAAACAATTTACAAAAACATACACAACATTCCCACACCATACACAAAAACACACATGTAGAATACATAAAAATACACACCCACAAAACATGCACACACACAGACATACATAAGTACACATATAAACATAGTGTACACAAACACACACACAATACATATACATACACTATACATAACATGACAGGCATACATAAACACAATATACAAAAAACACAAACACACACACACACCCCCAATACATATACAAGCACACTTATAAACAAACATATTCATTCATACACACACTAAATACACACCCCCCCCACACCACACACACATATTAAACATAAAACACACCATATACAAAAACACCTACACACACATGATACACACCACACACACACTACATACATAAACACCCACCAAACACACACGCTGTGACCCAGTACTTCACACATATACACACAGAGAAAAACACACACGCTGGGTGTGTAGTAGCTGGAAAATCTGTGTTTAGATCAGAAAGGAAGAGAGGGAGTTTTTCTGCTTAGCTGGAGCAGGTGTGAGGTGTGAGGTGAATCACTGTCTCAGTTCCACTGACTCTAGGCTGGTGTAGAGGCGATGGGGCGGGAGCAGAAAGCCTCCATACACACAAAGGCTGCAGCGAGTGACAAACAGCAGCCCAAACGCGGCCTTCCAGTGTGGGCTAACGCAGCAGGACGAGGAGGTGGACCCGGGGGATCCAGGAATACACGTCATCAGCAGCCATGTTCCAGTAACTATCACATTTACAGATTCAATCCTGGCTTCATTCATTGTTTAGTTTAGTCATTCATTAACCCGTATGGGCCTTTCATTCATTCACATACGAGCCCTACAGCCTCGCCATCTCATCCACCAGCAACGGCCCTCACTAATCGGTTGAGTCAGCCAAAATGTCTTTCCAATTTGAGGGAAACCATGCTCAAAGCTCTGTGGTCAACTCTCTGGTGTGAGGCACTTTCAGTATTATTCATGAAAAGACATGCAGAGAAACTTGACTCACAAAAATATGTGAATAAGTTGTCCTGGTCGCACGTGAGAACGTGAGCTGAAAACGCACACCTGTTACAAGCAGAGCCCGCACCATTACCTGTAAAGAGCGCCAATTATGAAAACACCCTCAACACTTTTCTGTAAGGCCGTAGAAAAGAGCGAAAGTGAGACAGCTCAGACTGAACAAGACGTGGCCATGGCGACCTTTCGCAGTTTCGCGGATGCCAAACAGCACTGACTCGTCACCTAACGGCGTGAGAAAGACTGGATTACAGCAGGCGGGCCTGTAAGCAGAAAGCCAACTACGCCTCAGAAAGGATACTACACCCTGTGGGTAGATTTGAGAAAACAGACACTGGCTGCGAAAACGTCTTGACATTGTTTCAAAATGACAGTTTTGGATTTCTGTCCAAAAAAAATAAGAGAAAAAGAAAGTATCCTCTTACACAGAGGGGAGAAACCGTACTTCAGTGACAGAATGAGCACTTAAGTCAAAATGTTACGCAAGCGGAAGCCAAAAATGGACTTGAGTCCAGCATACAGTGTAAAAAAAATAGCTCCTCAGATCTACCTAAAAAAATACTTCATGTAAATTAACTAGTTTTATTCAGCCTAAATAAATGAACGATTCTTTCCTTCAAAGGATTTTTTAAGTTGAATAAAACTAGTTTGATTTCTTGTTACCACATGAAGTAATTTTTTTAGGTAGATCTGATCTGACTTTTTACAGTGTACTCAAGAATGTAAAAGCAGAAAGAAGATGATTTTACAAACCAATTTTTTTAAGTTTTCTTTGGTCGGTGATGTGTGGCGTGGTGATACCAGTCCTCGCACAAAGACTTTGCATAATTGTGGTCAATTTCATTTTAAAGTCATATGAACTTGATTGGATGTTTTAATAGCAGCAATGAATCCAAATACAGGACAAAAGGAAAAGGGAAAAAAGTTTCCTGGCCTTTGAGATTGAAGATCTAAAAAATGTAATGATGTAACTGAGTAAGAGTACAAGCACAAATCTTCCCAATAATCCTTAAGTATAGTAACAAAGTACAATTTTGCTAATATTTTCCACTTCTGCTATTATATGTTGTACAGTTACGTAGTATGTATCGCTGTTGTTGGAAGAAAACCTCATATCTCCATTTTTGTCATTTTTAAGTTTTTGAAATATTTCGAAAATACCTGTTGCATGATGAATGGACCAAAAGAAACAGCCCAAAATGACTTGGAAAAAGGTCTGGTTCCATTGACTTACATGAAAAGTAAAGAGTGTTTTTTCCTTCTCCTGTAAAGTTACCATTTTGGAGATACAAGGTTTTATTCTGACAACAGTGATATATATATATATATATATATATATATACATACATATATTGCTGTTGTCGGAACAAAACATTGTATCTCCATTTTTGTCGTTGTTCA